TGGCCGTACTACTAGGAGCAAGAACGCTACTAGGGGCTCCTGGCCGTGCTACTAGGAGCAAGAACTCTACTAGGGACTCCTGGCCGTACTACTGGGAGCAAGAATGCCACTAGGGGCTCCTGGCCGTACTACTAGGAGCAAGAATGCTACTTGTAACAAGGTGCCAAGCCACATGATTCGCCTTTTCTGCTTTACAGGGAGATGTATGGAGGACAACAACCTCATGCCCAGCTCTCAGTCCATCTGACCCGGGGGTTGATGAAGGTTGATGGGGGTTGATGCAAGTGGTGGAAGAAAGGTGATGATTATTCACAGTAGTGGGGGGGATTGTTACTCCAAACCAGAATTCGGCAAGGTGCCACCCAGAAGGGTGCACGCGTGCTCAAGGTGCTTGGGGTACTGAGCAAGGTCGACGGAGAAAATACTCGCAACCTGACAAGCCAACTCCCAGTGTAACCGTGATCGATGTCGACTTGATCTGAGGACAGGGGCCGAGGCCACCTTTACAGTGGTGAACTTTACGATGAATGTTGGACTGTTGACACTGCCCTGCCTTTTTGCACGGCACGGCTGGTCAGCAGGCAGGGCGCGTGGAACGTGGGAGCTCATGCGCAATGAGTTTGACCGGACGGAACTGTGTTGAATGGTGATTGATGGTCTAAACGGAAAGTCCTGCAGTCGGGCGGAGGAAGTGCAACTCAGATTTGGGACCTGTATTGTCATATACTCTCCTGATTGCCTTCAACAGACTCAGTCGGAGATATGTTCGTGTTCGCTCTTTTTGGTCTTTGCTTTCGCTGGTGAGGCATCCTCATGGCTTTCGCGGGTGCCTCATGTGCGTGCACGGCCTTGTTCTTGCAGAACAGTCACCCAGCCTGTAAACGTTCCTTTATATGCTCCTGCTGCCCAAACAGTAGGCCACTCACAGGAAGAAAAAGCAATCAAAAGGAAAATGTGCCGCGCTGTGGCTTTTGGACATCTCAGTTCAACGAGTCATAACAGCAGGTGATTTGTGTGTGTGTCATCTTCCTGAGAGTTTCCTTCTGGGGTCAGGGGAGTCTAGCAAAGGGCAACGGACCATTGCAGAGTACATCCAAGAATCCAAGCAGGTTGGAGGTCATCGCTATTAACATGGAGGCCATCGCTAGTAGGTTGCAAGGTACATCCAAGAATCTGGACGTGTTCTTCAACACTACTAGGAACTTGTTCCCTCCTAGCTAGGATGCAGGATAGCTCACGCTAATGATTTGGTTCCTAGATTTTTAGGGAAACTTCATCCAGCTATCATCCATTGAGCAACCCTGGCATCGCTTCACCCAGGTTTAGTGACATTGGTCAGGACCGACGCAAAGGAAGCGTTGAAGAACACGTCCAACTTCGTTGGGAAGCAAGTGTTGGGATTCCTGCTTATCCAGTTCTGAATGTTGCACTAAAGGGCATCGCTACTTGCTACTAGGGGCTCCTGGCCTTACTACTAGGAGCAAGAAGCTACTAGGAGCAAGGGTTCCTTTGGTTTGGTTTTGAGGTTCCTTTTGGTTTGGTTTTCGTTTCTTCACTGCGCTTTTCGCTGTGCCTCGGTGCAGGAGAGGCATCCCCTTGCCTGACTTCCCAGACCTGGCGCGGGAGGCCATCGGCGCCCGCTTCGCTGTGCTACCTGGCAAGCATCAGAGGCCTAGGCACAGGCGTTTTGTGGTGCTTGTTCTGGAAAGAGCCCAGGTTCCGTAGTAGTTCTGAGGCAGGGCCACTTGTTCACCTTAAGATTTCAAGTGGCTGTTCCTGTGGAACAGGTCCTTGTGGAAAAGGCTTTGGAATTAAGGTTTGGTGTTGAAACAGGCTCCAGTGTGGCGTGTCCCAAGTCTCAGGACCAAAGGCTAAAAGTCTGCACATATGTTAGGCCTCAGCAAGACCTGGGAAATTCTATAGGATTTTTGCTAAGAGGACAATCCTGCGTCCCAGACCCGATTGGGCAAGACCAAAGAAGGATCAGAGGGAAAACGCTGAAGGGTGGGAAGGTGAATCTGAGTCTTGGTGGCGCCTTCTGCAACATCTGCAGCTGGAAGATGGAGGGCACATATCGAGCTCGTTCGTCCTGCTAGTTCTTTTGGTCGGATTCACCGCCGCTGGAACTAAACATTCAAGGATCGCCCATGTGGTTGCACAGATTGAGATTGTCGGCTACATGTGCTGCAACCTCATCGCGTTAGCAAACGGCCAGGACTCTCAGAACCAAACCTTTCCCATGCATGAACAGTGGTCTCCGCAACAAATTCACAAAACGGCTCAGTGATCCCAACTTATCCCAACCAGGAGCTTCCACACATATGTGACTTCCTACACTTTTGAAGAGCAATGGTGTGAAAAGATGCCAAGCTGTTTGTGCTGTGTGTATGGCAAGCTGCTAATTGGTTGGAGGCCGTCCCTAGTAGGTTGGAGGCCATGGCTCGTAGGTTGCAGGCTATCGCTATTAGGATGGCGCTAGTAGGTTGGAGGCCGAAGGCCATGGCAAGCCGCATTCGTTCTGGATCCACCTGAGTTGGCCTGAGGCCTCGCAGCCACAGCGCCCTCCCTGACAGAGCCTCAAGCAATGATCATCTCCAGTGGCATTTGTGCTGCTTGTTACTACTAGTAAGGCACTTGTTACTAGAAGCGATGCACTTGTTCCTAGTACTGTAGCGAACATTGTGGGAATGAATATCTCAAGAACTGGCCAACTCCGGAGAGACGGTAGATGTTGTTGTGCTATGGTATGCCATGGAAACATGGAAGATACATTGAGAAAACCCTGAAGCTCCGACCCACCCACACAAGAAAACATGGGGCGCTGGGCGGGCACGCTTGTACTTACGGATTTTGGTCGCATGATGCGTTGCAAGAGTTCTCAGAAATCTGGATGCATGGTCAACATCAATGCCACTGAGACCCAATACAGTTTCAGCAAACAAGCTTCATTCTGGTCCCCTCGAGGTGTTTGTTCATTGGCCCGATTTGACTGTTTGTTGCGAAAGCAAGAACTATCGCCTTTCATTCCAGCAACAGGTAAGTTTATATCCCCAGAATATGGCTTGACCAACATAACATTGCCCATTGCAAGCATTGTCCATAGGGTTGCCGCTCAAGACAAGGCTCTTCGTAGCTGAGCGCTTTCAGGTTGCTTTGGCCGCCATTTCGGATCGGCTCTTCGCATACTGCGCCTTGATGTCCACAACCTCAATGGTCGCCATCTTCGCAAGTCTTTTGCTTTGGGGCACCGTGTCTCGACGAATTCGACCAGGGATCTTGCCGCTTTCAGGTGTTGCAGTTTTCAGTCCTGAGAATGATGGTTTGGTTTTGAAGCCAGAATCACTTGGCTGGATGACCACATGCCTATCAACCAGTGGCTTGTAATCGCATGAAATATAAAGTATCATAAAGTATCCCTTCCGCATTGGTGGTACAGAGGCTACAGAGGGTGGACTGAGGTCAGTACCTTGGACCAGTCCGCCCGTCGCGCTAAGGAGTTTGAGACCTGGGCTCAACCCTCCACCTTGGTCAGTGATGTCAGCTACATGCCCGCCTCCTTTGCCACTTGGGATTCACACATTCTCCAGCAAAATCTGGGCCAAGCAGGCCTTTCGGACTTAGGACGCCCCCTACACTGGCCGCCTAGTTTCGGCCACGGACACTGCTAGCTGTGAGTCTGAGATTCAACCAAGTTGACTCCAAGAGTTCACCCCAGATCCGGTGGAGAGAATAGCGTAAGAAATGCGAAAGGAAATGCACGACAACAAAGACGGGTCCTCAGACCACCTAAGACAGCGAGTGTTACAGCGCGAAGCTGACAGAATCTCCCAAGGCCGTCATCATTTTCACGGCTGGGGCGTGCCTTGCTGCAACAAGCTGGAGGGGGTGCTGTAGATCTAAAAAGGAGCATCCACCCTAGGAGCGTTGGCCTCCAACCTACTAGCAATGGCCTCCAACCTAATAGCGATGGCCTTCAGTAAAGAAGTGCTGCGTTTGATGACCTGAGAAATGCAAAGGCACATCATGTTGCTCGCATTTCTGCGTGACGCGGCTCATTCCTCGAGCACCTTAACTCATTTCCAGCAAGCTCTCAGCTGTGAGGCATCCCCTGATCCCCTGCGTAATGCACAGCACGCGCTCGCGGCATGAGTACAGGCCGGTCTGGGATGGGGGAGTGGTTGACAAGAGACATGAAAGCAAAAATCAAAGTGTACATTTTGAAGCTGAGATTTGGAAACTTGAGGAGGTCCAACAACTTGACACCAACCAATCACTAGCTTGACTTCATGCAGCAATGGACATTTCACAGCCTGTCGAAACATCAATTGAATTGACCAGCTTTGATTCCGAGGGCCAGAACAGACCTTGCTTAGGTTCCAGGAGGTCATACAAATAATTCGAGTTTGTTTTTGAAGTAGAAGCATATGACATATGAAGGGAAAGGTGAAGGATATAGATGGACTCGTCGTAGAACTAAGTGACAACAACTGGTCAGTACACACACTCAACACCTTTACCACTTGAAGCAAGCAAACCACAGCATGGGTGTGAAATGAAGATGCACACATCAATGAGCAGAGTAAGGTTAGAACTCACGGAGGAAACGAATATAAGATATATAGAAGAGAAGACGGAGAAGATGGTAATCGACTCAACAGAAAGTAGTCACTACTTGTCAGGTAGGGATACAGCCGGTATGAGGACGTCTTTAAAAGCACAGGAGGCTATCGCTATTAGGTTGGAGGCCATCGCGAGCAGGTTGGAGGCTTCTTTGAACATCCTCTTGGATTTAGAAAGAAGCTAGTAAGTAGGTTGGCTCCAGCTGCTTCGCTACTCAGATCAGCGTTGCGGCTGTCCTGGACCTTTTTCTCGATCTTCGCCATTGTGGCGGGCGGCATGGCCTTCTACATGTGCCCCGCTTCGTAGAGGTTTGATAGGTTTGGCTTTGCAGAGGCGGATGCTTTAGACAAAAGCTGCAAAATAGGTACTTTAAGCTACAATAAGGGACAGAGAACTGCGCGATGTTGCGGAGTTGAGGCAAGTTTTGGGAACCTTGCTAGGTCTGCTAGGTGGCATGGTGTGTTTGAGGTATGGGCACTCTCTCCGCCCGTTGATCACTGACACTCAGCTTGCTTGGGTTTTTTTTCGTGCATTTTTGACAGCACAGCTTTCAAATCTAACAATCGCACAAACTGAGGACAACATTGGCCGGAATTTGCATCTTCAGAATGAACCAGGATTGCTTTGACCGCTTTCCTGTCGGAGTGTTGCCCAGCTACAAAATGCCCTCGTTTTTACAGAATGTGTATGACTGAGGGCAATACTTGAACCAAGCTCCTCACTTGCTGAATCGATCCGTCGACCCATCGGAAAAGAAGCAGGCGGTGGGGCCATGCGAAAGACTGGTGGCATTTGGGTGCTGGCCCCTCGACGGAGTGCCACCTGAAGATTTCACGGAAAGCTTTTGTCAGGTGCATCAAATTTGAAGGTGTGCGTCCGCCTTTCTTTCTCTCAAGGCAGAGTCTGATGGAAGAAGTACACAATTCAGAGACAAAAGACAGCAGCTAACGCTTCCCTAATGAAGTGGCGATGCCCTTGCTACTAGTAGTTCCTAGCTACTAGTAGTAATGCCCTTGTTACTGGTAGCGATGCCCTAGTTACTAGTAGCTTCTTGTTACTAGTAGCGATGCCAGGAGCCCCTAGTAGCGTCCTTGCTCCTACCCCCCCTTGCGCGTGTGCGCGCGAAAAGGTCCTAGTAGCCTTCTTTAATATATATATATATATTGTTTCTACTAGCTTCTTGTTCCTAGTAATGCCCTTGTTACTGGTAGCGATGCCCTGAGGTGAAGTTGTTTGGTTCTGTGATCCCAAGTTCACGGCCAACGGTCCGACTGCTCGGCAAGCAGAGCCTCGACGGCGAGACAGAAGGGTCGGTCATCCGTGTTTGCTTCAGTCCAGTCTGCACCTAGGGAAGAAGTTCTGGATATAGACTACTATATAGCTTCTTGTTACTACTAGTAAGGCACCTGTTACTACTAGTAAGGCACTTGTTCCTAGTAGCGTGGCACTTGTTACTAGAGGACGTTTAATATCATTGGATATCATTCTACAGAATACATTCACGAACCCGCTGGCCCTTCACTGCTCGCTTGGCTGAGGATTGGTGTGGACTTGCCGGCTGGAAATGGAGGTTTCAAGTCTGTGCTGGTGACGGCTCCCTTGCTTTGTGCGACTTGGGCACGGTGGCATTAAGTCTTAAAACTCGACTGGAGTAGAAAGGAAGCTCACAGGAAGTTTCAGAATGTTAGAAACAAAGAGCGTAAGAAAAGAAGGAAGAAAGGTCTAGTATAGTTTGCCATTAGGTTGGAGGCCGTGGTGACCTAACAACTCGTTGGGTCTTAGGCAGTGGCCGGAGTATCACAGCTGCTGTCTCCCTATGTCGCTGCCTTCGAGAGCATCTTGGGTGTCAGATCACTAGATGTGATGCTTGTGTTTGTTTGTGCTCTATTTGTTTTGTTTTGAGCATCCTTCTCTTGGTCGGAAAGACTTTGATGCATGAGTTTGGCAGTTAAAAAGGTGCCGCTTCCTTTCAAGGTTTTTTGCCAGTCTTGCAGCCGTACTGAGGTGCCATTGGCTGCGCAGGGTCCTCGGGTGAGTTTAAGCTGCCGAACGGGGCCAGGCAAGTCTTGCAAGTAAAAGTCCTGATGTCAAGATTCCAGCATCATTCAAGGTTGTTTTTACATTCAAGTAGCAACAAGATGACCAGACAAAAATTGACCATGCACTTTGATGCAAAATTGGATCCAACCATTGTGGCTGGACTCGCCGAACTTTTGAACCAGCTTTGACGTTGGTCTTGCTGAGGTCATCACCAGCTTCAACGCCTTGTTCTTTCCCAGCCTCACATATCTTGCTATTTGTGGCCTGGACGATTTGTGTTCCAGACATTCTTGCGAGCTTCATGAAGATTCACCCCTCAAGGGAACTTTGATCCAAGCGTCCAAGAAGCTTTCATTGGGTTGAGCATGGGTTGAGCGATTGAAGGCCATAGCAATGCAAAATAGAAGCTTCATCGCATCGCCTTCATTCAGCAGCAAATGCTCAAGCACTCCTACCAAGGCCAGCCCAAAGATATCAAGCTCCGTTTGTGCGCGGGATTCTTTGTGCTTGTAGGCACGGGGCAATGGGACAGTGTTGTTTGTTGCTTCTCAGTTCACCTTCAGTTCCTTTGCTCAAAATCGGCTAGGCGCGGCGCTTCCAATTGCAACGTTCCTGCCTCAAGTGCTCCCTCTCGCATATAAACTTTGAATCGAGTGCCTTGGTTCAAGAACCTGTTATTATCCTTTTAAATAGTTTTTGCTGTAAAATGCATGTGTTTGTTCATTGCTGTTTTCCAGTGGAGTTCTCCTCCCCACTGCAACTTGAGGAAGATCACAGTCTCAGAATCGCACTTTCCTCGGTTTTACGGCTTAGCCACACTGCCTAAAACCGGAGCAACCGCTTCGCAACGACAACTCAGGCTTAGAGACGTGAAGAGCTGGGATTTTCGAGCGGAGTCGCAGTCGTTTTGCATAATTCACCACATCTGGCAGGGGCATGCACTTTTGGTTGCAGCTTTTTATATCCAGATCTGGTGGCTGCATGGGGACGAGCCGTTCTGATTTCTTCTAGCCAGAAAACATAGGTCTTCTTTGACCTTCTTTGACCCAAGCAATGGTTTTATTGACTAAGAAAGCCCGTGAAAGAGTCTTGTGCATTTTTGCCACGTAGAAGAAGCTCCTGACGATTCGGTTTGGAGTTCCACCAGTTGGGATTCTGCCCCATTACCGCCAAGTGCGGTTTGGGCCTCTATAGGTCAGTTTTGTCATTGTGGCAGTCAACGTCTTCTTGGGGTGCTTGCAAGATTGGAGTTGCTACTGCTACAGATTTGTCCAGCAGGATTCTGCAGTACCTCTCAAGTCACAGCAACAGTTGCAGAAAATTGCTGTTTCCTTTCCCGGCTTGCCGTGCCCAAGTCAGCACAGTGAAAGATTGCTTGAGTTCGTCACTCCAGTTCTCCTTTAGTTCCTCGCGCTGACTTTGCACCCCAAGAGGTGACTTCAGACTGCCACACTTTGCCCTCAGTCCACCTGCTTGGAAGGCTTCAGCTTGGAGCAAAGCTGGTTGGGCGTTATAGGTGATCCCTTGTTCCAATTGGATCACTGGGCAGGTACGAGTGACGCTGTTTAAGAAACCAGTTTTTCCATCAAACGTGACTCGTGACTCGAAAAGTGACATACACTCAAAGAGTCTCAAGTAGTAGCGTGGCACTTGTTGCTAGTAGCGATGCACTTGTTCCTACTTGCTTCTTGTTACTCTTGAAGAAAGTGATAGAAATCCAGTGAGGTGTTGTTTTCCCATTTGCCTGTCGACAGCTTCTTCCGTTTCTGAAGGAATCGATCGAAGATGATTTTGTTGAGCGGGATGCATTGGAGATAGCTTGACTATGTCGAGCATAGGCGAAGAAGTATAGATTGCAAATCACTGAGGAGGCTTTCATGTGGCTGTGCGTAGGAAAATCAAACCAAAAGTCAAGAGATCTTGATGTGATGTGCCAACAGTTTGTGCTCCTAGGGATTTGCAGCCGGCGTTTTTAAACATGCCCACCTCACTTTGGGGGGCGGGAGTGGCAACATCCTTTGTGCGTATGATGGGTTTTTGGATGCGAGAACTTTGACCCAAACCCATCGGCAAAGAGCTGGAGGTTGCAACCAGTGCGGCCCCTGATGGCAAGTATTGATTATGGGATTGCGGTACCAACCACCTGACTGATGAAAACACGTGGCGTAAGCAGCCACCGCCATCCATGGGGCACTTGCTGGGTGTTAACGTTGTGCATACTTGTACATACGAGGCCAGGACAGGAGCCACCTGTCTGACAGTCTCATAGAGACCAAAGAAACCTTTCAGTTTGCGAAGGAACAAGCATGTGTGAGAGAGGCTACTAGGAGCAAAGGGCATCGCTGCTAGGAGCAAGAAGCTACTAGGGGCTCCTGGCATTACTACTTGGAGCAAGAAGCTACTGGTAAGAGAGCTTGGCAAGATCGTAAGATCGTTGTGGGTGGACACAAGATTGGGCATATCCGTCCATTCAGTAGCTCAGTAGCTTCACTTGAAGCTTCGGCCAGAAGGGCTTAGACAAATAAGTTGGCGCAGATTCAAACGGAAGTTGAAACTGGCAGCCCAACAACCACAATGCACAACGAAGTCAAACCTGTGACAATGTCAATTCAACCAACGAAAGCCACTCTTTCGTCGCACCGCAGCTATTTCACGCTCCCATGGCCAAGTCGCGACGAAATGCCGTCATGACCTCATGGTCTACTTGGCTGGTTTCACACAGCTTAAAAATCTTTCTTGGCTTGAGATCGTGGCTGCGGGCGATATCCATCGAATCTGGCCTTGGGCTTTGCTTCCGACATCGGACCCTCTTCGAGGTGCCATTGATCCATTGCCTCCTGCTCATGCATGGCTTCAGCCAACTCTGACAACTCAAGGATCTGATCTGTCGAAGCGTTGAACTCCTGCAGCATAAACTGTAGGAACTTGTTCCGCCATGCTGCATAATGGTGCAGTTCGCGCACACCATCATTGCACAAATCTGCCACTGCCGCTGAAAATGCCTCGTCATCAGGCACCAATACTTGCTTCTTCACCAGCTCTGTCTTCACTGATGATTCGGTCTTCTCTTCGCCAGCACGTTGGTTCTCCAAGAACATGGAAATGGATCCGCAATCAAGGCTCTCCCTGATTGCTCCTCCCCACTTTTGGCATCCATCCGGCAACGACTGCACCTCTCCACCGCGAAGCACGATCGAGTACACTGCCAGGACTTTCTTCAAAGTATCTTCGGCTTTGTCCAGCATCGTTGCACTTCCCTGAATCTGGTGAATGTAAAGGTCAACAGGCCATCCTCACCTCCGAACTGCTTTCCAGTGACATACTTTGCCAGAACCCTGGCTTTGCACATGGAGCATGGTTGGTTCATGCACTTCACATATTCATCACCATCAATCAAGAATGCGCTCACCATGCATTCAAAGAGCGCTCGAATCTCTTCGTCCGAAATCTTCTCCACGGCAACCTTCACCATGGTGTCACGGTGGTGATGAACAAAGAGCACTTTGTTTTCTGTCTTGGTCTCTTGAGCCTCACCTCTGGAAATCACCTTTCCAACCCTGTCTTTGCTTGGCTGCGGCTTCCATCATGGAACTTTCACTGTTCAAATGATATGTGTGTGGTCATATTAACAAATCCATGGCCTCGGGTGATTCCTTAGTCAAGGCATTTGCTAGTTGCAACCATGTTGGGGCCCATCGAATCACGGAGCTAATGTTTCACGCACGATGACCAAGTCGATCGCCACCCGGTTGTCTCCCACGCTTCCAGGAGGAGATGCAAAGTTCTGGAGGTGATCATAGATTCTCTTACAATCTATCATTGCTTGGAGGTTGAATTCTGCTAAAACCTCTTTACGAGTGGCAAGTGAAAAGTCACAATGCTTGGCTTCTGCAAGATCACACGCTAGCCACTCTGCATGCCCCAGCAAAAGTCGAAGTCGATAAGACTTCCAAACACACAGACTCCACGGAGCTGGCTTACCCATTTGCAAGTCGTCATTAGTTACCCCTGCCAAAAAACCAGCTTGCGTTCCCTGTTTCTTTGCATTAGCGAAAGCTGCATCGGTGCACAAACACAACCGGATGTCGGACATTGGGATTGGAAGGACTTTCCATAACATTTTCTTGTACTGCTTAGCAGAGCTGCTCCGAGTTGTCGGTTTGGACAACACTTGTTGACCTTGGCTCACCTGGACGACAAGATCCGGCCTAGTTTCTGGAGCAAGCCACAGAGCTCCACCCAACAATCCAACACCTTTCAACTATGATGCATTTTTGGGTGTCACCTCCACTAGTGGGTGATTCACGGTTCCTGGCCTTACTACTAGGAGTAAGGACGTTACTAGGGGCTCCTGGCCTTACTGCTGGTGGGTGATTCACAGTTCCTGAGCTTTGGCTTTTCCAACTTCTTTGCAAATGTCTTTTGGCTGACAGTGATTGCACTTGTTTGATTGCATTGCGTGAGCTCTGATCCACAAAAGCTATCGTCAAACTGTGTGAGCCATTTCTGTGGTGAATCATTGAGACCAAAAATTGGTTTGATCACTTCAAATTCAAACGGTTGTTCTGCGCTATGGTCTGGCAAGGCATAATTCTTTGGGAAGGGGCATATATAGTTTGCCTGTACCTCTTTCCGTCTCGTCGGATTCAAAGAAAGCACCAGTCACATCACCTAACTGCATGCAGAATTTGTGGCTGGCAATTGTGTGTTGGACTGTGTATCTGCCGTTTGGCGAAATGGTCGGAGACTGCGTGCTCCCTTGTCGTATGAGAGCAATCAGATCAGGCTGCCTGTTTCATCGTTCGCTTTTGCACTAGAACCAGCTTACTTTGCACAATCCTATCCGGTTCTGATTGTTTGATCTTTCTTGACTGCTCAATTGATACCGGTCGTAAGGCTTGCTTATCTTCAACTACCAACTACATTATGCATTTCCTTACGAACACCGTCGAGGAGCTTCTGGCGACCTTCGGGTTTCAACCACTTCTCATCTCTTCGGTTGAGTTCATTCCTACCTCCAGCTAGAAGCACTGGATCTTCTTCGATGTCTACACACAGAACAAAATCATCTCCACCATCCACTGCTGACATGGAAACCGCTTGTTGACCGGAATCATGAGCAAAATGAACTTGGGTCATGAGTCCATGCGAGCTTGAGGCGGCGCTCGAATCCGAGCCTTGGACCGGGATGGCTTGAGCTTGTGGATTAGGCAACGAAGGAGGATATGTTTGTCCTGCAACTACTTGTGGTTCAAAGAGTTCTTTGTCTCTTATTTGGTATGGCTTCTTGTGTCTCTGGAGGTTCTTTCCTCACGTGCCCATCCAATCGATTAGCTCTTCGAACGGATTCCTGCCATGACATGAGGTCTTGCTGGGACAGCTGGCTCAGGCATTCCGTGAGGCTCTTATCACTGCTGTTCACACTTCGAATCTCTTGCTGACTTGGTGATGCCTCTTCTCCTGGAGAACCGGATTGCATTCCTAACGCAGAAGGAGTTCTTGGCCTACCAATGCTTTCTGGTGTTTCGTGGACCGCTGACTGCTTTGCGTTCTGACCTGCGTTTGGGGGAGGTCAACAATCCGGCACATCGCCAGGTGGAACACAAGTGGTCACCTGGTGGGACATCTTCAGAGATATCGAAGAAACACTCTGATGAGGTCGATTGGATGCACCTACCTCTGGCCACGATGCTGCTGCTGCCCTAAGATCTCTTACAAGTAGTTCCCGGGCAAGCCGGCGGCGGAAGTTTCATATAAGAACAACTTGACCTATAGGAGCGTCCACGTTCTCTCCAACATGCGCGTCCTCCAGTCAAACGCACGCGCTCCGGACTTGTGCCCCCTGCAGGATCAGCAGCTCACAACAGCGTACGGGGTTGTATCTTTGCCACGACAAGAGGGGTGTATGACGAGCGGTGTATGATGAGTGGTGTATTGACCAGCAGTTGAATGTCCTGTCCTGCATAAATGCAACCAAATACTATCAGTATGAACTGTGCCAAACCTGCACGCCGCGAGAGATGACTCAGCAGCGAGAGATGACTCAGCCGCGAGAGATGGCTATAGCGAGAGATGACTCAGTCGCGAGAGATGACTCACAGCAGCGAGAGATGACTCCTCCGCGTACTACACTTGTACTACAAACTGGCCAGTTCTCAGCTTCCAGCTCCACAGGTTGTTCCGCGTGCTAAAGTTGTACTACAAAGTCGCCAGTCAGTTCTCATCTTCCAGCGCCCCAGATGCTCCGCGTACTGCAGTTGTACTACACAGTCGCCAGTTCTCAGCTTCTAGCTGCACAGATTGCTCCGCGTACTAAAGTTGTACTACAAAGTCGCCAGTTCTCAGCTTCCAGCTCTACAGATTGCTCCGCGTACTAAAGTTGTACT